TATTTTATATAAAAAATTATTTATATTAAAAATATTTCGATATACTTCGTAGACCATCTTTATCAACAATAATAATTCTTATTATTCATTATAAGATTTTTGATCATATTTCTAAATATACCACTTCCATTTTTAGACTAGTCATATATAATAAAAAATTTTAGAACAAACTAATAAATGTAACTTTTTTTAAAATTAAAAACTTATTAAAAAAAAATATTTATAAAACGAAATTTACGCAACTAATTTTTTTTGTAATATATTATTAAAAAGTCCTAACCGCCACTGTACATAAAAAAGCATAGCAACGTAGCCAAGTAAAAAAACAAATGAAAACAAAGAATTGACAAAGATTAGTGAAGAAAAAATAAATGATAAAAACATAAAAGCAGAATAAATAAAAATTTATATAAAATGTATTGTTGTTTTTGTTTTATTGTAAAAGCACAGAATTGACCACAGAAAAACATATGATTTGAACATTTCTTTTTTGATTAAACATTAAAATATATATAACTGCGTAATTGTAGGCCAAAACACATATTCAAGATATATTAACTCAAAATCGTTGTGCGTATTTGAAGTCGATATTATTTTTCTATATAGACTTGAATTTATTTTGATAATATAATATTTATAAGTTATTAATCAATAAAAGGTTAAATAAGAGGTTGCAGAAGAAATGGTACATAGTAACAGAATGCTCGCTCATACGTAGATAGGAAGAAAAATGCAATTATTACATGTACACACAAAATGAAGGACGACAGTTGCAGAATTTCAAAATTGAATAGGGTAAAATGTACTTACATGTAGTCGCCGTCAATGTTTATTTTGCGTGCCAATATATCAAAATATTGAGACCAGCACTTGTTAATTTTGAATTAATTGAACACACTTGTTTCACTTTTGCTGCTTAACAATTTGCCAGTTCTTTTTATTTTATTATTCTTTCATGTATTCTTATTCACAATCCCGTCCAGACAACGACAGCAAACCATACACAACGAAGTTCTCCGAAGAACTGAAATAAAATTTCGCAGCAGCGACTAGTGATGTAGTCAAAATCAATGCAAATTCGAATTTAAAATTTCGCAATGAGTAACCATTTATTGAAATTTTCACTTCGGTTACAAGTTTCGTTAAAACCTTAGATTTTTATACGTTTTACATCGAATACAAATTTAAGCTCTAAAGTTTTACAATCACATTTCATAATTCATTTGATATATTTACTATGAAATTCGTAAAACTAATTCATTTGAAATAAAAACCAAATACATACATATAATTTATTTGATATAATAAAAAAAATAGGTTATATTTCAGATAATTCTTGAAATCATATATGGATGTCGAACACAAGTGAAGTGATATAGCTAAGGTGTAAGTAAAACTATAAAGAAATAATTGTTGTTAATATTTTGACATTATTTCAGATTAATTATATTTTAAAAATAATTCCAATACAGACAGCATACTCGGGGGTGTTGTTTTATCTAGTAACTGCCCATTTTATTCAATTTTAAAAGTGGATTATAGATATTTAGGTCGTGTGCGAGTTAAGCTAAGTTGATGCTAAACCAAATGGGAGATTTTTTGGGATTTTTTGCACTGCACACATCACTACATTATCGGCACAACTTAGAATTTCCCTCATTTAGAACGCCACTTAGCCTAACTCGCACACATCCTTAATTCGCATGTGCTCAGAAAAAGCGAAACCGAAATCGAAACTTTCTTTAAGCTTCATTTTATTTGTTTTGAAAGCCAGCTAGCCAGCTAATTAAGACTGACGATTTTAAAAATACTCAGAATATTCAAGCTTTTTATATGCTGTCAAAAAACAATATAATACCAATTATAATTCCAAGACCACTGATAATGGGTATTCGGCAATACTGGAAAGAGTTGTATGGTCTGCCAAAAATACAATTAATTAAAAAAAAATAATAATTTTGTTGCTGCAATTCACTACTGTTCGAAAACTATCTATAAAAAATATTAAAATATAAACAAGAACAAGAACAATATAAACAAGAAAAAAAGAATTTGGGATAAACAAATAAATAAAATTTAAATTATAAAAATTCAAAATAAATTCAAAATATTACCAAAAATTATAAAACGTTTGATTTTTGTCTTTATTATTATCGTTACCGTTTTTATTATTTACGTGTATATATGTATATATAAAAAAATTTTAATTGAGAAATTGTTTTTTTTTATTATTATTTTTAAATACAACCTGTAAAAGAACATTAAGTATTACTTATGATTATAAAATAGAACAAAATGTAATCATGTGCAACAAATAAATTATAAATAAATTGTAAATAATTGTTTTTTAAATACAATATAATAAATAATTCAATAGGCCGCAAATGTTTATATAGGCCGTGCGCGAGTTCAAGTAAATCGAGGTAAAGTAAATTGAAATTTCCTAGGTATTTTTTGCACTGCACTTATTAACACTTATTTATTGCACTTATATATTATTTTTTTGTTAAAAGTTTTCAAATTTACTTATTTAGTTATTAAAAATCTTATAAAATTTTTACAATGGTAATATCTAATTTTTATTTAATTTATCCTACTCAAAATTCTAGTAAATATCAACATTCGGTGTCATTCCGACATAATTTACTATTTCACTGAATTTACCATCAATTTACTCGAACTCACAAACAGCCGTAAACACGCCCGCCATATTTTTAATATCAAATGACTTGATGTTAACATTTTATTAAATATATATTGGAATATTTGTAACAATAAATATATTTTGTTGTTATATAGAGAGTGTTCAAAGTTTGCTATATATAATATATATTAAATTTGATTCACATATCAAAGAAAAACGCAAAATGAACATAGTTAACATTTTTAAATTAAACTGACACAATTACATTTTATTGTGAATTGCTGTTAAAATTACAATGAATATATACTTTACCTGTTTACCAACACTAAAATGTAAAAGAAAAACATAGAAAAGAAAATTTGCAGACTTGTTTTTATTTGGCTATGGAAAGTTTAAATTTAAATTTAATATGTGAAGTACTGATAATAAACTTAATGTTTATGAAAATAATACAATTATAAATTCAAGATATATATTGCGGAAAATAATAAAACCTTAAACAAGAAAAAAACAACAATACGACAGCATATACCATTGTTTACAGTAAGTTTGCAAGGCAAAAAAGAAGCCTTAAAACAATTTCCATTTAATTTTGTTTAATATACCATTTATATGTGTTTAAAGTAATTAAAATGAATTTGCGAAATAATATTTTGTACTTCGCTCTTTCAAAAACGTAAAATCATAATAAACCGCGTCATCGTAGCGTCCCACCGCTCCGTCTCGCACAACTAATTTTTTTCATTTTTTTTTTTTTTGCTGATAAGCAAAATCGCCTGATTTTCAATTTGTATGTGTTTTGTGAATAATCGATGCCAATCTTTGGTGAGCGCCGCCTGCCTGAAGGTTGTGCCATAGTTTTGCAATGTTTTTGTTGTTGTTGTTGTTGTTGTTGTTATTGTTATTGTTGTTATAATTATTCAAAAGAAATAAATCGCTTGCTTCTTAAACTGATTCAGCTATGAACTTTGTGTTCTCAATTAATAATTTAAATTAATTCTATAAATAAAGTATACGTAATAAATAATAGCAGAGTCAACGCTCTTGTTGTTATTATTTGTAATCGGTAATTACATTAAATGATTAAAAACAATTGCTCTTTGTTGAAATAGTTTACTGCATTTAAGTTCAACATTTCAACATTTAAATATATTAACAATGCATTAATTATATATATGCATATATGAAATGAATGCATCATTAAGTCTTAATTAGCAATTATAATAGTTTATTTGTAAATCGGTCTGATGAAGATAAAAATTTTTCCATCGTATGTTATAATTAAAAATGAAAACTAAAAGGTGTTTTTATTGTTGTTATCACAAAAATAATAATAAAAAATATTATTATATATTGTATTTATTGTTTTTCGTTAATTAAATTATGTATGAGAACAACTGAACATGAGATACAACAGATGTTATTTTAAAAAATTACACAAATTATATATAAAATTCTTCTAAAACAAACATACATTTAATCTCCACTTCTGACATTAGGAGGTCTTCAACGGTTGACATTTTGGCTTTCATACGGAAGGCGAAATGTCTTCTGTTCGGTTAGGGTCTGTTGCAGCACAAAGATCAACCATAGTCGTAGTGCTCCGCTCCGTTGGAAGCTGTTACTCTGCTTATTTCTATTCTATTCTACATGCATTTATGACAATTGCTATGTAGATGATATAA